AAGCTGCAACAGTGGTACCCACACATGTCTGCCCAACATGTGGCAGAACATTCCGTGCCCGTATCGGCCTTATCAGCCATTTGCGGACACACCGTGGACAGTCCACAACCCGTTAGATGTCAAGGTCCTCTTCGAATACGATGGACGAACAACAACAACAACAATTTGTAAATTCTGTCAGTGCTTCAGGCATGTAAACAAGGAGGTGCCCTGCACCATCAGGAAATGCCAGGAGGTGTGCTATGTTATAAATAAGTTAATAAATTTTGAGTTAATAGGTCTCACCTCATGACGACAGTCACACTAGTGTATCTACATACAAGAGCATTGCTTTCGATGGCTTAGTGTTACACAGATGGTTATCTTTAAAAACAGCATTTCATTGAAATATTATACCCCATACAGCTACCAGCAACATTCTATGCAACTTTTTATACATAGATCTGAACAGAAGAATAAGTCCAACACAAACATTATCCAGTCTCTTTGTGCCACTACCTCTCCATTGCTTGCAGTGAACACTGGCAATCTCTAGTTCAGGGCGTGAAGTGATTGAAATAATTAGTAGTTAATGAAAGATTTAACCACAAAAACGTGCACACAAATCCTTGTGGGGCTTCTTTCCTGCACTCAGCTTCTCCCTCTGCACCCATGTCCACATCCTCAGCACAGCGGTAGCTTTCACAGCACTTCCCTTGAGATCATGCTGATGTTTTACCTTTTTTACAAGTGAATGTTAGTGCTTTGGAAAGATGCAGGATTAGGGGTAGAATAGATGAGGTGCTGACAGTTGTACATGCACTAAAACATATACACAACACAGGGGATTAGGGGTAGAATAGATGAGGTGCTGTACCTGACAGTTGTACACGCACTAAAACATATGCACAACACAGATAACAAGGTTGCATATTTCCCCTATATTGCCTCACCAGCATGCTTCATCTCTCTTCCAGAGAGTCTCAGACGGGGTAGCCATGTTAGTGTGTAACTTTAAAAACAAATAGTTCTGTGGCACCGGCCATGTTAGTGTGTAACTTTAAAAACAATAGTCCTTTGGCACCGTAGAGACTAAAAAAAAATATATAGAATCGTGAGCTTTCATGGGTAAAACCCACCTTCTTCAGATGAGTTGGACTATCTTCCAGGGAGGCAGTGTCAATGTTCAGTCAAGGGTTTACTGTCAGCTGTGATAGTTGATTTTACCACCCAGCAATTGTGCTTAGACCACCCAATCTTTCCACACAGGACAAACCTCTTTCAAATATTGGTGACATTTTTATCACCATCGTGTCAGATAATTTTCCATTTAAAATTTTGCTTTGTCATCTGTTATCCTTATGCCCCACACTCAGCTGCACTTTGTACTCTGTCAACACACAGCAGCCAATAGCAAATAAATTCAAGAGAGTTTTGACTACATAAAGTAAAACAAACAGAACCTTTCACTCCCATCATCCAGTTTTCTATTTAAATAAATACATTAGAAGGGCTAATAACACAGACACATTATTCTGAATACACTGTAAAACATTACCTATTTAAGCCTGATAATTCTCTTTTGAGGTAGATACATACAGTAAATCAGATTAGCATACTAATACAAATAAAAGTTATACATACACTTGTGTGCAGGACTTAAATTCAGTTGTAGCCATTAGGAGCAGAGTTCTGGTAAACATTATTCAACCCCATGTAATTTTTATAGCATAGGGTTTAGGGTGGGTGGGAAAGGACAGGAGCCTTTGGGAAATATCCTATGAGAATTTAAGTCCTGCCTGTAATTCAGTCATTTAATGGTCATACAAATATTTTCTTCAATCCTGTGTCATTTGCATTCAATTCACACTACAGAGTTTTGCTTTGAGTTCTGTGCTAAAACCGTCTCTAGCTAGAAGTGAGCCTAAGACACCAAGCTTAGACCCCAAAGTTTGCTCTGATTGTGTGGTTTTGACTTCATCTACTAGAAAATCTGGGTTAGTTACAAAATTCAGATCTCAAAGGGAAACTCAGTTGAAGCCATCATGTTCCATATTAAAGGTAAGGCTGGTCAAAAGATATATATTTTCTGCAAAATATTAAGAGGGAAACAAAATATTTCTTTTATTTGAATTGTTTGTGCAATTTTATTAGCTAAACAAAAACTTAAATTTGTAGATTTTTGTTTCTCAAAACTTTTCTTCTTATTTTTTTCCACTATAAAACAAGGGGAAAGGGGGTTTTAGGCAGGGAGATGGGGAGAAAGTCACAAAAAGTAAACTTTTCTTTTTTCCAATAAAAATAGTTTAGCTGGAAACATATTTTGAACAGTAGTAATTAAAACCACACAACACAAACAGATAAACCATATTCAGGTTTGTTCAGAACTTGCCCAAAGTTCATATGGAAGGTTTGCAAACCTTAGATGACCCTTAGCAGAGTTCTGAGTTTAGAACAAAAGCAGATGATCACCATGTGGTTTGGAGTGTTAAGTAGATGGTCACCCACATGAGAGAAGTAGCAGGAAAAAGGTGAGTGATCTGGAAGTTGAGGGGATGGTCAGCTTGGTAATTTTAAAAAAAAATACTTTTGGCAAACACAATCACTTTTTTTTACAAATAAAATAAACAGAAATCTTAACAAGTTATTCTTCAACCCACTGATAATTAGTTCCCTGGCAGTGGTTTACAAAAAGGTGAATGAACAGCAGGGGAGCCACCAATGGCCCTGTTATTTTGAGATAAAGGACAACTCTGAGAATGCATCGGCTTCATGGGATCAAAGACACCATGCTGCAGCAGAGTAACCTCTTCACATTATGATGTTGCATTATGAAATAAACAATGTTGCTGCACTCTAGATAACCTCTTCACATTATGATGTTGCATTATGAAATAATCTAGAGTTCAGCAACATTGTGTAACAGCCCCTGACAATGCAATAGTGTGAAGGTACAAACTTTGTGAGGTAGTATCACCTCATCACCAAATCCTCCTCTCAGTTCAGCTGTTTCAGCTTGAAAATTGCAAGGTTTTGTGTATAATTATAGCACTATTATGACTGCAATTAAAGCTTTGCCCATCTCTAATGTCCAAGCTTGAGGGTTTCTGTTTTACAGCCAGTGGAAAGGAGTTACTTATATCCAAGAATAGTGATAGAAATGTAGCCGTGTTAGTCTGGGGTAGCTGAAGCAAAATGCAGGACAATGTAGCACTTTAAAGACTAACAAGATGGTTTATTAGATGATGAGCTTTCGTGGGCCAGACCCACTTCCTCAGATCAAATAGTGGAAGAAAATAGTCACAACCATATATACCAAAGGATACAATTAAAAAAAAAATGAACACATATGAAAAGGACAAATCACATTTCAGAACAGGAGG